CCTAAGCTTCGCATGCTTCCGCAGAGTAATTTGCACGCAGGTACGGAGGACCTTGCACGGAATGTACGGAGGACACAGGGGTATGGCGTGAGCCTATGTGCCAGGAAGGAAATCCATATCAGCAGCTAGTCTCAGTGTCGGCCACAGCCACAGCCATTTCAAATCGGGCAGCCCCAGTCCTCTTGCTGACAACTTGCCGGTTCCGTTAGGCCTTGGCTACTAGGGTTACTGCTATGGTGCAAACCCCATCACGAGACCTCCTGAAGCACACACTCACCCGCCAGAGAGGGGATCCAATAAAAGCCCTGAGTATCCAGTAAACCTTCGTTAGCCACATTAGTAAGTGAGGAATATAGACCTATGAAAATAGGCGTTGTTGCTAGCGTGGGTAGACATCCTGCCAGCGGGTTTACGCCAGCCTGTTCATATAATATAGACGTCTCCTTTTGGATCTTCTCCTTGTCATCCCCGAATCGGTCCTTAATTAAATCGACTCTGGGCTTGAGGGCCTGCACAGCTAGGGTAGACTCTACCTGCGAGCGCAGCCAGCCACTGCAACATCGTCATGCCAGGGAAGGTGATTAACAGCACTGCTATATTTCCAGAAGTTGGATCTTTGCGGGATGGCGAACAGCCGTCGTTACTGCGCTCCTAACTTCACAGAAGAAACGCGTAACACCACAGTGCAAAGTTTTTCCCCCTGCCCATGGGTCACTGATGGATATGTAACACAGGGCGAACTAATATGGGAAGATCGTTCGAATTAGCCTAGCTTAGTCCAAGAAAAATCACGTTGTAGGATAGCGTTCCTGCTTGGCCGTTGCCAGGCGCGGCCGACGCCAACACGACGACTAATGCACAATGCAAACGGCCAAGTACCATGGATCCAAGCAACTCAGCACCGTTTTAGCAACGACCCAACAACCACAAACAACCTAACCCGTACCCCACCCCTTTGTTCAGCACCTACCTGCTGTTTTGTGAGGGGATAAGTCACGATCTTGACTATTAATGTTAACAGTATAATAGAGTAGCCATATGAGTAAGGCACGTGCAGAAGGTCGAGGCAATCCTTCAGAACGTAAAGGACTTGCTCTAGAACATCTGCAAGCGGTGCAACCCAACCGCCCGCTCGCTGATCTGTTGGTGAAGCGGAGAGTATGTTTGCCGTGACAGCTGCTGCTACCGATTCCGAAGCGGCTCCGGCGTTGGCAAGTGGGAATGAAAAAGTGGGCAACAGATCAGCCCGGTCCAGGTAATCAGGAATACCTGCTGAAAGGTGCGATGTTAACAACGTAATCTCAGAACCCGCTCGGTAGCTCGAACCACGCAATCGCCCAGGGCATGGCAAGTCGACGAGCACGTTCCTGCAGTGGTATGGAACCCAAACAGGCAACGGAGCTTAATATTAAGGCACCGAACGAGAATCCAACCGAGCCGCGTACCTTATGGCATACCGGAAATGGGCATTCCTTTTTACGCGCTGCGCAACCGGTCGATAACGCAGAGTCGCCATCTTAAAAATTTAAAGTACAATCGAGGGGGGGTAATGTGCTGTAGTTTTCTATGTGCCCTTAAGGTGAAAGGCAAAGGTGGTGCATGAAATACCTCCAAATCTTGCCACGCACAACCTCAGAATTTTGTGTACACATTATATATTTCGGAAGCAGATGGCTTGCCTGTTTTGCAGTCACTTAATCGGAACCTTCCGTACGATCAAGATCTTCTGCCGCGAACTACTCACTAGTGGCTTGGTAAATGATTATGAGCCCGACTGTTGGGCTGCTTTCGTTGTCTGTTATTAATGCTATCGTGTCAATATTCGTTGGAAAAGTATGTGCAATGCATTTTTCGGCCGGCCATTGAGTGTCCGTATCAGCGATGTTATGTGTGGCAGTTCACTCATTTGGTTGACGCGGCGGATGGTATTGTTTGGCAATATATTGCGCAAGCATTCCTGCGCAACTGGTGTTTGCAAGTTATGTCGTTGAGGTGTGCGGTGTTGTTGGGGTGTTACACTGTGGGCGGCTCGCCCCGAGAAAAGGACGAGCACCGGGGGCCCTGACCGGGCCGAAACACAGCGCAGGGGCGGGGGCGCGCGGCTCTACGTCCGTCTGTTCCTCCGCGCGCGCCTCACTCCCTCACGCCAACCGGGACGCTATCCCAGCCCCTGGTTGTTGGTGTGTGCATTATGGGTGTTGTTGCGTTGCCGTCCGTCCAATATGAACGCAGCGCGTCTTGGTGGCGCGCATGGTCTATGATGGCTGTGTATGTTGTTACAGGGTGGTATAGCTTCACCAGCGGCCCCCTTTCCCGAGGCAGTTCCCTGCTCTCCCCTGTGAGAGGGGCACACTAATCCATTCACCCTATCCGATTTCAGAATGTATTCGTTGGGTTCAGCAACTCACCACCAGCATCCAACCAAATAAACGGATCAATGGCGCCACACGTTTCTAGACAGCTGGAAATTTGATACAATAACGTTCTACCCCATCGTTTTGGGAGCCACCTCCCAATTCAACAACTCTAAAATACCCGTATGAGAGAGTAGAAGTCAGGCCTTAACCTCTGCCATCCGCCTGCCTGTGTATGTTTGCTTGCGTTGATGCGTGCTCCAGTTCGGGTGTTTTTGACGTGTGGGTTTGCGGTGCGCGGTCAGGATTGATCGTGCATAGTCGGATGTCAGACGTGTTTCAGCGTGGAGGTGTATGATGTATAGCTATGTCATGGGCGTTACGCAAGATGTCAACGTGGACGTTCCAGTTTATGTTGTGCTCTAGTGTGCGGGGTGATGACGTTTCGCCCAGGTGCGCATACGTGGTGGCTTTAACCGTGACGACAAACTTGGTTTGGGCTGGCGCATTAGTGCATGTATGATGCATCAGAGGTGTTGTTGTCTCAAACATACATGCCATTTTCTGTTACAGTTAATGCGAGATTGAACGACTTGAAGGCGACAGGCTTTACCCACCAACAACGGAGAAAGAGACACAGCAACTATAGTAACGCAGGCTCCACCTTCAACGAGCTGGCGGGCAGGCGCGTGCTGAACAACAAAAACAAGACAAGCTGACCCGCTTAATGTATGCAATACATGGCGGCTCGCTGCGGCTCTGAGGGCACTGGCCATTGCTAAACATTTAGCTTCAGCATAACAATTACACACTGGGCCAACTAACCCCATCTAACCCAGCTTCCTTGACGCAAATTTGCATTAGAAACACGCGTGGACAGTGTTCCATAGTTTCCGATTACGTGTGACGTTTGGTTGTGGATCTTTCATTCATGGTCATTGTGGTAGTCATGTAGTGTGCAGTTTGCATTGCAGCAGCGTAGCAGCGAGAGACCGTGATCCGATACACAACATGACGAGATGGGTCCGTGGGAATGGCGACATGCATTATGCACAAAACACGATTGTGGCTTGCATGTTAGGTTGGCCAGTCTTGCAATGCAATCTCTGATTTTATTGCCATGGCATGGCATGGCATGCGCCGCAGTCAAGATTGCATGCCTGTCGAATTGGCCAAACTCGCAGTGCATCCATCTCTTGACTGCTGTGCATGCTTATGCCTGTGTGCAGCATCGACTCATCACGAAGTTTTCGTATGTGTGGTAGTTGGTCATATGCACGTCAAGTATTGCTGGATGGATCCATCCTTGCATGCGTTGATTGCTCACCAAACAAAATGTCGCAGTGTGTTGATGGCGACCATGCATTAATCAATGACCACATGGTCAATCCGCGCGAGTGAAGAGCTGCACGTTGCCTGCCAGTTTATACTGTTCATTGTCTGCTGACTTTCCGATGAGGAGTCTTGAGCATTCTCCAATTGTCAGCGGCCAGTCACATGGCATGACGGACATGTCGTTAAGGTATGCCTCTTGTTTATTTCTTCCATTGTCAGGGTGTCGGCTGCTACGGTTTGGTGTTGCGCTACTGGGAGATGACAGTTCGTGAAACCCAAGGCTCTGGTACTGCTTAACGAATATCCCCATGGCTTGTGCCTGGGATTGATGACTTGCAGCTGCTGTTAAAGGGGTGGCCGTTGATGACATTGCAGGTGGGACGTGGGACAGGTGTGTGAGACTAAGGTCATGGGAATGCACAGTTTGTGACAAGCAGCCAGTGAACAGCAGCAGCAGTAGTATGACGCGTGGAGTTCAAAGGGGCACATGTGCCTTGAACATGTGTGGTGTCAATTGGATGTCGATGGGCAGGATGTGCAGCTGCTCAATATCCACAACTCACGACAGTGCCACATATGCTTGCCCTAGTCGGTTTATATTTGTGAAGTCAACTATGACGGGATCAGTGATGGTATCATGCTTTTAAATGTTTCCCTTGGCTCCCGCTCATTCCTATCATGATTGCATGTCGGTGGCCAGGTGGTCTTGGGGGGGATGTGCGTGGTCGTGGGGCTGCCGCCCCACTTCCCCGCACTTCCCCCCTCTCCTGCCCCTTGTTCTTGGAAAGCTTTAGGCGAAAGTTTTTTATCGGCTGGCATTAGCAAGCATGTGGGCTGTGTGCCTTTTCCAATGATTGAAACGGTTTGTTTTCTTGCATTGGTTGTACAGTGCACACATTGCCCACACATTGCTAGTTGTTGCAACAGTAAAGTATAAGCAATTGACGAAGTGAAAGGAGAATGTCAGTATGGAGAATTAAGCATCTAAATTTGTGATTACAGTCGAGTTGAGCCGTTAGTCCCCCCATTTAAACTAGCAAGAGTTCCTTTTTCCGGCCCAATATCATTTTTGTTAGTATTATTCTGATGGCACATGCATGGTGAAGTGGAGGATCCTGATGGTTTGTTCGGTGGGGGTGTTTGGTGGTTGTGTGGTTTAAACGTGTAAAGTGGATGTGGCCAGCGTGCAGACGGTGGACAGACCGGTGGGACCGTCTAGCAGCGTCAGCAAGTAGTGTGCGCCCCCTCGGCCCATGGTCGGCATGGGCCCGCACAGGTCAGAGTGTACGACCTCCAGTGCGACCTCCAGTGCTACGGCTGGTTGCCGCGGCTGGGGTGGGCGGTTGCGGTGGCCTTCACGGTGACAGAGGCCTCGCAGACGGCCTCCATCTCCTGGCGCAGTGCCGCTGGAGTGACCTGTGGTCCCTGCACCAGCTGCTTGCTTATCAGCTGCTCCAGCACGCAGTAACCGAGGTGACCGTACTGGCAGTGCAGGCGCTGTGCTGCCACAAGTTCAGCGACTGAGCATTTGGCGGCCCCGGGGCTGCCGTTGCCTGGTTGCCCTTTGCCGTTGCTGTCACCGTCCGGCTGGCCTCCACCGGTGTGGCTGCCGGCGGTGCTGCCGCCACGGGCGCTGGGGACGGTGGCTGCACTTCCGCCAGCGCTGCTACCTGCGGCCTGGCCCCCGCCAGCTCTGTCGCCCGTGATGCCGAGGGCATTGATGGTGACGTCGGTCGCCGCCTGCAGGTCTACATCCATGCATAGTGCCCATGCTCGCTCCATGCGATAATAGAAGGCTGTTGTGCGGGAGACTGATGTGTGAGAACCAGCAGCCCGTCTTGTCCGTGCTGAACATGACCGAGCAGCTGCGTGTCATGAGGTCTGTCGACCTCGTAAGAGGTCGACAGATGTCAGGGTGAGGACCGAGCTGGGGACATGCAGCACGTTGTGCAGCCGGACATTGTGTCCATCACGTGTATGCAGGTGCAGCTTCCCTGTTCCCATGACATCGGCCGGCTGGTTGTTGCCCCTCTAGATTAGACGCGGCGCGCCGGTGGGGACATGGTTGTGGACCCGTGAGGTGGTATGGTGAGCCTGAGTCGAGGATGACTCGTGAGCAGCTGCCACTGCCGTCGATGACCAGCACTGTGGCACGGCTCTGGTGTGAGCTGCTTCTGCTGCTGCCCGAGCCGCTGCCACTGCTGCCGCCTGCAGTGTAGCCACCGTTGCAGCGGCTGTTGCAGCATCGAGCATGGCCGCGTTCGTGTGCTCCGTCGCCCCCGCTGTTACCGCCATTGCCGCTGCCAGTGCCCCTACCACCACCGTCACGGTGGCGGTTGCGGCTACCTCAACTGATTTTGCTGGCGGCATGCAGCTGCTTGAATGCGTTGCTGCGGTGAAGGCTGACGGACTCGTCCGCCTGCTTAACGGGACACTCGCGAACGTAGTGACCAGGCTGTCCGCAGTAGCGGCCCCCACGGTTGCTGGCCCCCACGGCGCCTGCAGCACCAGCGGTGCTGCCGACTCCACTGGTGGCACAGCCAGGGCCGACAGATCCCACCAGGCTGGTCTTGCTTGCTTGGGTCTTAAGGTTGTTCTCCTTCTCCCGCAGCATGAGCACGAGCTGTGGGGTCGTTAAGTTGGGCTGATACATCGTGAACTCGACGGTGATGGTGCACTGCGGAGGCAGGCCATGGAGAATGGCGTGGCGCATCGTGCTCTCGTCCCACTGGCCGCCGGCCATCATTATATCGCTACGGAGCTGCTCTGCCCGCTGAACGAAGTCAGCGGTCGTCTTCCCATCGCGCATGCTCAGCTGCTTCTGCGGCTCCAACAGGCTCAGCCGGGCCTGGGATGCAGAACGCAACTGTTGCTGTAAGAGCTGCATGGCGGCGAGAGTGGTCTGGCAATTCCTGAGCAACTGCTTAATGGGCAGTTCACAGGACAGATGCAGGTAGCCGAGCGCCTGTGCGTCCTCCTCCAGGGTGTCTTGGGTGTTGCGACCCGGAGGCGACGGGTTGTTGATGTAGTCTTCAACTTGGACGTTGCGAGGAAATCGCCTAAGTCGCCGAGCCACTGAGAATAGTTCGACCCATCCGAGAGGAGGACACCCTTACATCCCTTCCCCATGATGGTTGCCTAGCGAGCGTGACTGATCAAGCCACATTCCCCGCCGCCTTCCTGGCAACTAGTTGATGGTATGATGCATCGGTATGTTGCGGTGTACGATGGCTCCTGATGCGACTTATGCCCTTTCAGCCTCCCAGGCATGTCCCCACTTGCCTCACAGCCCACCGACGCATCTCACAGCGGGGGTCTAATTGTGTGCGTGTTTGGATGCAGTGTTCCCCTCCACCTTTGGGCAAATAGTTGATGGCGTCATACATCGTTGGCGCGGTGTACGGCGGTGCCTGATGCGATTTATGCGTCCGGAAGCCCTTTCAGCCTCCCACTCATGTCCCCACAACTGCCCCACACAGCCAGCGGGGGTCTAACTGCGTGCGCGTTCACATGCGGCATGCCACGCCGCCTTTCTGGCATCTATTGATGATATGATGAATCTTTATGCGATGTAGGGCTGCGCCTGATGCGATCTCGTTTGCGGAAGGCCCCCCTGAGTGCTGCCAAGCATGTTATTCTCTCATGAGACAGCGTGAAGGTGTTGTGGCCTATGGTTGATCAATCTAACCAGTATGGTTATGTAATTAACGAATCCCAGCATATCCCAGTTGGATATCGAACGGACGTTCCAACGTTCGAGGCTGAGATCAACTGACAGGTTGTCGGTGGTGTAAAGTATGACAGTCGTCAATCATACAGTCGCGTCGATCGACCTATCCTATCAAGGAAGGTTAAGAGAAGTCCCGCTGGGCTACGATCACCAGTTACCGATCGTATATAATTCGGTGCGGATGCCTGGTAGGCATGGGTAGTCTAGCGCTGCTATTACTACTGGTGTTGTGGTCACACCCACCTCGCACCTTTATCATCTATTGTGGTCTGTTTTCCGCTGCTACATTTCGCTGTATTCTGGCGCGTCTCAACCAGACTCACTACAGATTTGGTATCGAGACCATAGGTCCATGGGACAGCGGCAGTCCCTCATTCCGGGCCGCATTGATAGGGAGTGCGAATATTTCGCACGTCTGACTATCTCTCCCATGAACGGGACAGGCGGAACAAACGACCCCGGTGGGTCACTCGACGTCGTTATGGCGTCAGGCTCCTCAGGGAACCCAGCGGGTGAGGCTGGCGCTGCCGCTCCCCCGTTGGCACCCGTTGTGCCCGTGCCCGTCGCACCTGTTGGTCAACCAGTAATCCCTATTGCTGGAGCACCCGCCGCTGGCGCAATGCCAGACCCCGTACAGCCCGTTGCTGTGCCAGCAGCTGTTGCGGTCGCACAGCTTCCGGATGCGCAGATGGCTCCACCTTCCTTTGCTGCTGCTGTGGCGGCACCCGCTCCAGTACACGCTGGACCTGTCCAGGCGCCGCCCGTCGCTGCCCCTATTCAGCCGGCCAACGTGGGTGCGGGCCGTGGTGCTGGAGGCCGTGGCCGGGGTGGTGGACGTGGTGGTGGCCCAGCAGGCCGCGTGGCCGGACGCAATGGTCCAGGTGGGGGTCGCGGACAGGGAGGCCGGGGTAATGTTAACCCGGGTCGAGGCCGTGGTGCCCGAGGAGGAGCCACCGCAGGTCGCGGTGCAGAGGCTGCCGGTCGCGGTGCGGGCCGAGTGGTCCAGGGCGAATGGCAACAAGTGATGGGGCGGAAGCGTCAGCGGGTGAACCTGGCGCTGTCCAACAAGCCAGCGCCTGGTGGGGGGTACCTACCAAAAGCGCAGATTGAATTGGCGATGTCCCTCCGCGGTTGCTGGGTGTGCCTGGGTTTGGATCACACCTATGACAACTGTCCTCGTTGGAACGAGGATGCTGGCGCCGGTGGTGCCGGTGGCACTGTTGCCTAGGGAATTGCCCCTCCGAGGTTCGTTCGGCGCCCGGATGGGAATTGTCTTTGGTCCAAGTATTGGCAGGGTTTGGGACGATCAGTGCACGAAAGCGAAGTTGCTAGTATTGCAACCACTGTGGGCCGAGAGTTCACCTTAGATGCATGTGCATCAGACTGCGGCTTGTCTGCCGTATGTAACGCTTTCTCGTGTACAGCCCGCCCATTCCTTGATACCAACGTTGCCGGACATACAGTCTGGATGGCTCCGAATGCAGCTGACTTGCCTGCGTACGTAACGCATTATCGTGCCTGTAAGCCGCTGGCTCCACAGTCAACAGCAGCTTGCATACTAGTTCCTAGTGGAACGGAACCATCTTTGTTAAAAGGCATGAAATTGTATTGTATTGTATTGTATTGTGGTTACAGTATTTCCGCCGCCGACGCGGCGGGTGCCCTCACGAGCCGTGAGGCTCCAGAGCACGCTGTTGACGCTCATCAAAAACCTCAGTAAGGAAAGTAGCGATTTTCCTCGGATTGGTATTAAGAAATACCTTGCGCATATCAGTATCTTCAACGTTAATCAGAAACCTATTACGCAACTCAGTATACGCCTCACACTCCATGAGCACATGATATTCATCCTCAACCTTACCCGACGTACAGACCTGACACGTACGGCACTCTCTCGGCCTATGGTGTCCTTTGTTGACCTCCAAAGGCCAACAACAAAGACGGAATTTGGCAACCATACGCAACTGGTTGACCGGCAAATAAACACGCAAATAGCCTGTGGGATCGGAGCCCTCTCTTGCTGGTGAAGGGGAGCCCATCCAGTTATGATACCTGCAAAGCGAAACCCCTTTACCTTGGAACACACGCGGATCACCCCCTTGGCTGAACTGATCCCAGTCACT